GAAGTGTCTGCTTGTCTGGCAGCGGACAAAGTAACATATGACTATATATGGCTTAATAAATTAGTTCCGGTTCCGGCCGGAACTTCCGGCCGGAACTTAAAAAAACGGTTCCGGTGCATCCCTAATGTATATAGAGTATATATATATACTACAAAACGAGTACAGATTAGTTTTGCAATATAAATACCTCACCATGGCAACACCATAAAATTTATATACTGAACTACCCGAAAATTATTTACAATGCTGAATTTTGACATTATAGAGAGGAGTGGCTGATAAGTTTTTCTGGGGAACTCCAATTTTTTTTTGGGGGGGGGAGCCCTGCTGAACTACGAGTCTCATTTTGTCACTTACATTGTTTGAAGGTGACAGATTGAAGAGAATTTCTGAGTAAACATTTCTTGTTTTTGTCTTGCTACTTTCACTGAGATGTACAGCCTTGTTGGCTGCCAGAAACACAGCGAATATATCTGGAACCTTTAGAAATAGGAATTTTCAGTTTTTAATATATATGTTCAGTAATAGACATAACTTTTTAATATATATGTAATGGTAGTGACATGACTCAATGCCTTACAAAGCAAAGTGAAACTAAATTCTTTGTAGGATTGCATGCCGATAAAACATATACTACTTTTTGTTTGTGGAAACACTAGGTAAATTTATTACTGCAAAGCTTTCGATCCATAAGCCCGGATCCCCAGATCTTCATCAGTGCTAATAATATGTCATATGATTAGCACTGATGACGATTCAGGCTTATGGATTGAAAGCTTTGCAGTAATAAATGTATGTGGTGTTTGCACAATCAAAAAGTATTAAAGTGAAACTATGTTTGACTAGCATACCATGGTAGCATTGACTAATGCTGCTTCCAGTTTTCCCTTAACGAGCATTTCTCTGAGTTCTGACATGTTGGAAACATTATCAAACAATGTCACTGAGATAGAATATTCTGGGTATAGCTCAAGCACTTGATTTACTTCCATCTTAACCACACAATGTCAAGTCCTGTAACAAAATAAAGCAGCTAGGTATAAGATTAAGACACCTCGCAACATTTCAGGGGTGGAAAGGACCTTGTCAGAAGAGTTAGTATGAGATTAACCAGAGTCATGACAAAATTAATTGTTGATGGTCCATTATCTTAATGGGCCATTCCATTTAATATGTGCCCCCCCCTGTATTGAAGGGTCTACATATCCAATGGGAGGGGGTCTTCATCTTAAATTTTCCTAGAGGGTAGCTTGAGAGATTTTTTAAAAACGAAGTGGCTATATCTACGGGCCCGTAAACAGGCTATATTTACGGCACTCTCATTCTTTGTCTCCATACGACCTGTATTTATCGTTAAAGTCAAATTAAAACAAAAATAACCCTAACCCCAATCCTAACCCTAACCTCTAACCCTAACCCCTAAAAAAATTAAAACTAGTCAGAAAAAAAAGTTAAACATGTTTTGTTAAGGTGAACAAAAAACCGTCACAACTCGGATTCGAACCCGCGGACTACAACACAGCAGCCATTTGCCTAACCTTCTGAGCTATTTTCAAGCTCGCTGAAATCCTTTGTAAACAACATGCTTTATAGTGCCGCTTCGGTACATAGAGTGCCGTAAATATAGCCTGGCAAAGTCTGTTCATGGACCCGTAGATATAGCCACTTAGTTTTAAAAAATGGGAAAAATTAGGTGTTTTAGTGATATCCATGAGGGAAACGCAGTATCCTAAAGGGGTTAGTAAGATCACGGTTAATAGAATAATAGTGGGGTAACTTCCACAAATTGCATCCAAGGAGGTTCCAAATTTTTTTATATCCTAAGAGGATTATGAAGGGACCCCTCAATAGAGGGTGCCTATATTAAATGGAATGTGGCCCAATCTGGTTGCCATTCGGTCACAATGGGCTAGCTTATCCTTGATCAATCCTCACGTTAATATATGTGGCAAAAGCCTTACATTTTCACTCCTGGCTTGATAGTTCAATAGGCAGAATGGCAAACCAGAGTTGTGAAGGTGTGGGTTCAAATGGGCTATTCCATTTAATATCCGTACCCCCCCTGTCGAGGATCCCTGGAATTCTTCAGGGGTAAAGGGTTTTGAGCTTGGAATTCTTCAGGGGTAAAGTGTTTTGAGCTTGGAATTCTTCAGGGTAAAGTGTTTTGAGTTTGGAATTCTTCAGGGGTAAATGGTTTTGAGCTTGGAATTCTTCAGGGGTAAAGGGTTTTGAGCTTGGAATTCTTCAGGG